ACTGTGCTGTGTAAAAGCAGAAGGATATGAGTCTTTGTTTAATCGGTTGAGCAAATAAACACGTTAAGCAGAACAAAGACTGAGGGGGAACATTATCACACAGAATATGCATGTTCCTCTGCACCTGTGTGTGCGTCTGAGTGTTTAAAAGTGTTTACAATCCCTTATTATGCTGCTTCTGTAGAAATCTTTCTCTTGGAAAATGTAATGGAAAAACATGAGCACTAGTAGTCACCACATTATGAATAATTTTTTTTTTCAAGGGGACATATTGCACTTTTTTTATCATATTATTTTCTGCAAAACAGCCCAAATCAAATAGTCACAAGCAAAAAAAAATTAGGAGTAAAATTGATGGAATTCTGCAGAATGGATATAAAAGTGGTATAATAAAAAAAAGTGGTATAATTGTTAAACGTACAAATGCACAAAAAGGCAAGAAACTTTCAAGATCTCTGTTTATGATGGCCATTTAAAATTTGCATGTTAACACTTTATTCTAGTATTATTTAAATACCATTATAGTATTTAATACTATTTTGAATTAGCTCTTATTTTTAAATTTTTTAAATTTAATTTTAGTTTAAGTTTTAGTAATTGTGCTTTTGTATTTTTTATTTCTATTTTGCTATTTCTATTTAGCTTTAATTTTTTTTAAATTTAAGTTTTAGCAATTTTAGTATTTCAACTTACATTTTTATTTCAGTTAGTTGCCAAGGCAAGGCATTTCTAATTACATTTTTTTGTTTAAGTTGTTATTCTACAATTTATATTTTATCTTTGAGATTTATTTCAATTAAAAGAAACGAGTTATAGTCATAGTTGTAGTTTTTGTTAACTATAAAAACACTGGATTATAATTTATACATGCATTTATTCCACCCTCTCTGAACCTTAAAATTCATAACCATTTGCATTTCTATATAAAAATGACTCTTACTGTGACTGGCTAAACTCACTTACCAACCATTTGTTACTATATACATGACATCTATGTCACATCAATGAAGATTACATATTCAACCAGTTTTGAAGCTTAGTTTTGGGTACTTAAAACTAAATGTTACATTAAACTCTTATTTCAAAAGTGCAAGGAAAATCATGTTTCCCACGATATGCTGCCTTTAATTCTGGTGCCAAAATGGAGAAATGCAAGCATGCACTATGACTGAATGTGTATTACATCTCTCATAGCCATAAAAATCTATCACTGTAGAGAGCTTAAAATGTAAAATGTATGTTTCTTGGCATGTTCACCCTTTCTTTAGTGGATTTACTTGCACATAGCATTATTTACTGACGTTATACGTCTTTTAGATGATTCCAAACATCCAGACCACAACCAGCGGTCACGCTGCATGAGAAACGTCTAAAAATACAAAAACGCATGATAAATCTCCTGGCTAATTAACACAAAAGCCTGATTTTGAAGAGCTAAAATTCCAGCTAATTTAAGAGGAAGACTATCCAGCTCATATCATAGAAAGCCTCTTGGTATTTGATGGGAAAAACACTGTGTATCGGGTGACCGGCAAGAGTGGTAAATGGGAAAGTGTGTAATTCCTCTGATTAGATTATATACCAAATTAAGAAGTTGGGGATGCCTTTAGCATCCTGCAGACCACTTCTAGGAAATATCAGAGGAAAGAAAAGGCCTGAAAAATAACATGTCAGCTTTTTCTGAAATCCATCTGAAATGTCATCCCCATATTTCACTACTAGAACAAAACCATTAGGCGATGGAAAGAAAAATGAGGAGGAGAAAAATAACCCCTTAACGGGTTATTTCTCTGCATTAAACAGAGAGCAAGCCAGACCTGTTTTGCCTATATTGTAGATGACATACTAGTTCCCATAAGTACACCGGATCATTCCTTGCCATCAAAAACACTCAAGCACAGCATGAGGCAAGCCATCACCTCTCTAAACATAATGTTCAACTTGATCCTACTTTAGCGACCACAAAATGCACAGAGAAGCATTTGCGCCGCAATTTAAGACTAAGGGGTCACATGATGTTGCTAAAAAGAACATTATTTTGTGTATTTGGTGTAATGAAATGTGTTTATGCGGTTTAAAGTTCAAAAAACACATTATTTTCCACATACTGTACATTATTGTTTCTCCTCTATGCCCCGCCTTTCTGAAACGTCGATTTTTACAAAGCTCATCGGTCTGAAAAGCGAGGTGTGCTCTGATTGGCCAGCTATCCAGTGCGTTGTGATTGGCCGAATACCTCAAGCATGTGACGGAAATGTTACGCCCTTACCATGCTGTGATGCCGTCAGGCTGGAGCGACGATTCAAAAACATTAAAACCCATTTTAAATGAGGCATTTGTTGCATCCAGTGGGGACATAATTACGGATTATAATGACTTATACTGTCTTTTTACGTGTTGAGTTGCATCACGCCACGTAAACATAAAACCATGTCTGCAATGACAAACAAGCGCTACTCTACACTGCTCAAAACTTGCGTTTGAATCATCAGTGGCAAATCCTTTAAATTAAAACGTACTTACAGTCTGTGAGTCAGAACAGCCGGCATTGTAGTCTACTCTACCAGGATCAGGAAACAGTCCTCCATAAAATAAGCTGCACACAAATGGATATTTGGGTTGAACTGTTCTGGAACATTGTTGTAAATACAACTTAACCACTGATTTCTAGTCATGTCCTCTTTTGGAAGACCAAACAAAGTAGTTTCACTTTCACAACGAAACATACGGCGGCCTAGAGTGAGCGGAGGCAGGAGGGCTACAGTGAGCGGAGGCCGGTGGTTAGAGTGAGCAGAGGCTGGCAACTAGAGTGAGCGGTGGCGGGCGGGCCGCATATTCGACGAAGGAGCGGCTGGCGGGCTTGCGGCAACCACATGTGACGACCCCGGGCTGAACTCCGCTTCGTCCACGGTGAAAGCCGATCCGGCGATCCACAGCGTGAAGTTGATGCCAAACAAAGTAGTTTCACTTTCACAACGAAACATACGGCGGCCTAGAGTGAGCGGAGGCAGGAGGGCTACAGTGAGCGGAGGCCGGTGGTTAGAGTGAGCAGAGGCTGGCAACTAGAGTGAGCGGTGGCGGGCGGGCCGCATATTCGACGAAGGAGCGGCTGGCGGGCTTGCGGCAACCACATGTGACGACCCCGGGCTGAACTCCGCTTCGTCCACGGTGAAAGCCGATCCGGCGATCCACAGCGTGAAGTTGATGTATTCCGTCAGCGACCAGCACGGATCAGCTCTAGACATGGCGGCAGCAACAATACTACGGCGAGCATAAAAGTTACACCTTCTTTCTTTGCGTGAACATTTGGGCGGCGTTATGCAAATCTTCCCACATTGTGACGTAGACATGTGGGGGCGTGTTAGAACGAGCCGTTTTAGGTAGGCGTGGTTGACTCTTAACTTTTAGAGAGAATATCTCTTTAGATTTGAGACTTTAGTCTTTGCAACTTTACAGATCTTCTTTATGCATCAAGAGCTTGTAACACTTCAAAGAGAAAGGAAAAATTGAAATCGCATCATATGACCCCTTTAAAACAAGACCTCAGATGCCCTTTCTATGGCGGAGCTCTGAAATCTACATGCTATTGTTTCATACTGCTACTTTTTTTAATTTTCAAATTGTTTTCAAGCTTTCAAGGTCTAAAAATCACAATGAAAATCTGTGATTTAAAATGTCATTTAAACCTGTAAATAAACACAAAGCTTGAGGACTCTAAAGAATGTAAAACAAAGAAATATGTGTGATTAACTGTATGATTAACTGAAATAAAACCAAAATGGCTTGGTGTGATAATAAAATTGCAAAGGCTGCAATTTAATTAAATGAATATAAACAATGTGTGTTTCAGAGTGAATCGCGACACTGTGATCTTTTATACACAAGCCGCTCATGATCCAGTGTTTTAGTATCTCAGTATCTTTTCAGTAGGGATGCACCGATACCGATACTGGTATCGGTATTGGGCCCGATACTGAGCTCCTGTACTCGTACTCGTACTCGTTAAAATGCCCCGATACCAAACGCCGATACCACACAGCATGTGATAAGCGCCATATTCAAACAAAGAAACACCGACAACAGAACAACAGACAGCAGAATGTAGTTAAGGATGTCTACTACGAAGTATATGTATGCAATTAATATAACGTTAAACATTCAGTGTTAACGCCTGTATAGCTTGGTGTGCGCGAGCTGATAAACAAAGCACGCTGAGTGGATTGAGTGCGCGGCGGCGCAGATGCGCGAGCTTGTCGAGTGAATAAACCTTTCTCACAGACATCACTGGAAAGTTTGTAGTTCGGTCGGATGTGTCAAAAACAAGTAAGTAAAACAATGCACAAGTTACTTAACGGTAGAGAGAGAGAGAGAGAGAGCACGCACACTTCTGTTGTGTGATCTTTGATGTTCACTCACTTAGCACACGCATCATTTGGATTAAAACGAAATCGTAAAAATAAGACCATTTATAGGGGCATTCACTATAAACATCATGCATTTTCAACCTTAGGCATACACGACTTGGCGAAAGTGAAACTAGCAGCCTGTGTGAAATGCGCTAGGCTGTACTATTCTGCATCAGTACAAATACGTGCACGCGTTGCGTGTGTTTTGCTGGCTTGAGTGTTTCTGCATTATATGAGTGGCTTTGGAATATAAATCGCAGCACGTTTCAGATGAAAAAACACGACTTCTATTTCTGAAAATATCACAGTTAACGAGTGGTTCTCTGCATTATTACAGCAAAGCACGTGATTACAGTACTAAGCCGCTACAATGGAGCAGCTCTAATGCTATTAAATTAAAGATGATGTACCACAGAGCAAAAAAAAATGAACAGTGAAAGTAACAAAAATTTGGAAAATACATTTGAATGGGCATAATTAAGTGTGAAAATAACCGAAGGATATAGTCAAACCAAAAATTATTCAGAGACCAGATATAATTCAAAATCACTTAATTTGACAGCACCTGGTAGTTTAGCTTACAGTTTAGGATACATTTCCTCAAAGTAGTCGATGTGTGGAGGCTGCAGAATATCCAGAGCTGACAGCACCTGTGGAGAAACAAAGACAGAGCCAGAGGTCAGCTTTGATGCCAGAGAATGTAGGCACTGACACCAGCCTTTATATGACATTCGTTTCCCAGGCACCAGCAGCCCAGGGACAACGAGAGCTAGCCAGGCTCCCGCTAATGGCACCATGGGGACGGCACGTAGATAGAGCGAGAGTTAGGTAACACTAACTGATTTTAAAAAAAAAAAACAGTAGGGGATGGTGGGAAGCTCACATTATCGTGCTTGAAGAAACAAAGCATCTTCAGCTCGCGGAAAACCCTCTTGCAGGAGACGAGGTTTTGGAAGACATTGGGCATCTTTTTGAGGGCCACTCGTTTGCCGTCTCTGGGGTCTGTCACTGACCTGAGGAGAAAAGATGAGAAATAAGCGATTAGGCAGAGTGAAAACTGGAGTTGTGACAGTTTTTAAAGAAAGTCTCGTGCTCAATAAGGCTGCATTTATTTAATTAAAAATACAGTAAAAACAGTAATATTGTGAAATTTTATTACAATTTAAAATAACTGTTTTCTATTTTAATATATTTTAAAATGTAATTTATCCCTGTGATAGGAAAGCTGAATTTTTAGCAGCTATTACTCCAGTTTTGAGTGTCATATGATCTTTCAGAAAACATTTCGTCTTATTATTAATGTTTAAAACGGCTGTGCTTGTAATATTTCTGTGGAACACATGATAATTTTTTTTAGGATTCTATGATATGAAAGTTCAAAAGTACACCATTTATTTGAAATAAAAAGCTTTTTAACATTATGAATGTCTATACTGTCACTTTTGATCGATTTAATGCATCCTTGCACAATATATGATCATTTTGTTTAATGTAAAATTTAAAAGAAACGTTCTGACCCCAAACTTTTGAACAGTAGTGTATATACGGTTGTGTTTTTCAATTTATCTACATAAATTTTTGATGACACAAAGGAATTACTGAATGACCGTTATGAATTAGTTCACTAAAACAGACAGTTTGAAGTGATTCATAATAATTAAAAGACTGAATCTAACTCTAAAACTAATACTTGCAAGTCACGATCGAAGGAGGGAGCTTGAAATTAGTCACATGACGTGGAAACTTAAAGATTCAAATAAAAAGTGCATTAAAATAACTGATATTCATACTGTTGTGTAATTTTATTTTTTGTCAGCAAAAACTTTTCAAATACATTGTGAGTATTTGATATATCGGTCAGAACTAATCTGCAATTTAATCATATATTCTGATGAATTTTGACAAAAAGAAGAAGAGAAGAGCAAGCAAGAGATAATTTGTTGAAAAAAGGCAAGCGCTGAAGGGCCCTCAGTAATGGCTTTGAATGTTGCCGGTTTGTGAACATCGTTTTTCGTCACTGTGCTATAAGCAGCTCGATGTGACCTTACTGAGAGATGCCAATTGGTATAAGTGCCTCTCCTTCTTCCCTGAACAGTAACACATTTTCAACAGCAATGTTAAACACATTACACAAATGCAGCTATCATTTCCCCAGCACACCGTGTCATTTCAACTTGTCGCTCGCTGTCCAATACTATATCTGTTTACCTGTTCATTTTTATGGATTGACTATACTGTATAGGAAAAGACATTTTCTCTCTTGAATTGATAATGCCCATGATTATGAAATACAGCTTGTGTGCATTTTTGCAAACTATAAAGTGCACAATAAGCCTCAAACCAATTCACAGACGTGTCATATCAAATGTATGCATAAGATTTCCACAACACAGAATGCTTTAGCTGTTTTTGTCGCATAATAATAGTCTCAAATGTGACTAGTAAACCTCAGAGGTGTGATCAATGTGCACAAGTAAGTGTGTCCCTGTACACCTCACCTGAAACACAATGGAACATTCAGACTGAAAAACAATTCATGATCACGCAAACACACACACACACACACACACACACAATAGTGTCAACTTTTTAGGTTTTACAGTGTAAAACACGCTAATTAAAGCACAACAATGAAAAATACTAATATACACTACTGTTCAAATGTTTAACGTTGGTAAGATTTTTCAATGTTAAAAAATTTTTTTTTTATAATCACCAAGGCTGCATTTAGGCTATTTGATAAAAAAAAGCAATATTGTGAAATATTGTTACAATTTTAAACTAAAATTTTAATATTAATTAGATATGTACATTTTCTAAATAGAAAATATGAGTGGTGCTTGCCGTGGCAAAACTCGGCACTGTGCAGTTACTAGGGACTTTTTATCATGTTTTAACAATTAGATGGGAATTTTAGCATGTAGCTATTTACTGCTAGAATGAGTAGCATGATGGAAGTCAAAAGAGCTAACCCCCCATGTTTCTATGACACTTCTATCCAAAGAAATCCCTTTTGATCTGTTTGAATGGAAGTCTATTGGGTGGTTGCTAGGGTGTGGCTATGAAGATGAAAGGTCATTACTTATTGGTTACTTGAAAAGATAAGTCAAATGAGTGTGAGAGAGAGTTAGACAGAGAGAGAGAGAGAGAGAGAAGTGTGTGTGTGTCTGGGAGAGAAAGTGACAGCTGAGATTCAAATTCATATACATTCTGCCATTGTAAGTCTATGGGACATTTTTGCCCTCTTTTTCGTCTGCTGTGCGAACATCGTAGGTCCGATTGCTTAGAATAGACAAAGCACACCTCTCCTCAATGAGCTGGTCGATTTGACACCTCATTCATGGGTCTACGACAAATCGTGCGGGACAAGTTACATGCCGAAGTTTTGTCCAGAAGAAAAATAATAAGTATGCAAGAGAACAATAGTGATGCTTTGCCTTATAGGCAAGCACCACTAATAATATTATATTTTAAATTGTTATTTATTCCTATGAAGCCATTACTTTAGTCTTCAGTGTCACATGATCCTTCAGAAATCATTCTAATATGCTGATTTGCTGCTCAAGAACATTCGTATTATTCTTATTGTCAATATTGAAAATACTGGGCTATTTAATATTTTTGTGGAAACCATACTTTATTTCTCAGAATTGTTTGAGAAATAGGAAGATCAAAAGAACAGCATTTATTTGAAATAGAAATCTCTTGTAACATTAGAAATGTCTGCAGAATACAGTATTCAATTCTTAAAAAAAGCTTTTGAACAGTAATGTACATATAATCAACAATATGTTATATCACACAGAGTGCTTGATATGTTTACTGGAGCACTGTATGTGGTGGAAAAGTAAGACAAAGTGGAACAGAGTGGTGACAGATATATATTAGAGATTAAAAAATAAATAAGGTGTTTATTTAGGGTATGAAACATTGATCGGGAAAATGAATGCTTAACTGAGAAAAAGGTCTCTTGGGTCGGCACCATGACACACAAACACTCTCGCACACACACACACACACACACACACAGGTTTGTTTGTGAAAAGTGGGGACTCTCCACAGGCGTAATGGTTTTTCTACTGTACAGACCGTATATTCTATTGCCCTACACCAACCCTACCCCTAAACCTACCCCTCACAGGAAACTTTGTGCTATTTCAGATTTTCAATACACTCCATTCTGTGTGATTTATATGCATTTTGAAAAGTGGGGACATGGGGTAATGTCCTGAAAAGTCACCTTCTCCTTGTAATA